AAGAATTAATATCGTATTAGAGAAGAAGGTAACTAGCCTCTAGGCAGATCTTTACTTTAGTTTACTAGTAACTTATATAAGTATAAGCTACTTATATATAACGTTTCTTCTTTTTCTCTTTAGTCCTTCTCTTATATATAGTTTATTAGTATAATACTAATATAGCGAGACGTCTATATAGCAATATAGCTATAAGTATAGAATCGAGTACTAGACAAGTCGGCGTTATGCTTATTAATATTTAGAATGCACAAAAGGGCATTAATATAATATAGATAGAACTCGAATGCGTTATCTTGCTATTACTATTAGCATAACAGAACAGGCCTTTTGCATTTAAGGAGAGGGGAGGGGGAAGTTGCACTGAAAGCGTTGCGACACATTTCCATCAGCCGTGCCAAAAAGTACAAGGTTCGTAAGAAGGCAGTTATGCTCTACACCACCGCGATGACTTGTCCGCCACACGCCCTACTGGAATTCTTGCCTCTACGCACACCGGCATATGTGTCGTAGGATTTGCTGTCGAGTAGACCCTATTTTAAAGCCTTCGCTCCTTAACCACCTGCGTAATGATTCTAGGTGGGAATGCAGTACTCCACTCTATGCAAGCGGGACACGTTGCGTGAGCTCGCTTCTTGGCGCGGGAGGATCATGCAAACGCAGAGATTTCCTCCCTCGGATCAAGCCCCGAAAACTGCAGTTCTTTATGCTGAAGCATAAGCCCGGTTAACGGCGCGCCTAGAACAGCTGCAACTGCCCGTCAGCATGCAGCTCGCTAAAGACGGTGGTGAACAGTGCACAACTCGTTCCTGCCTTGACCATCTCTCTACGACTGGCGCTGCGAGTCCGATTTCAGAGATCACGTGTCGCGCGGTCTAGCAACCCTCCTCATACCCCATGGACTTAGCATTCGTCGAAGCTAGATCAGGTATTTTGGAATGGTGGCCTATGAGTGCGATTGAGATGCCGAGTTGTGCAGGATCCCGCCCAAAAGTTCTCCGCTGGCATCTGGTACTGAGTATTACGCACTGGAACTCTCCAAGTCTCTGTCGTTGCGGTGGGATCTGTGTCCAACTACGCCACATTCCGGGCGTGATAGAAAGCTTGGAGCCGGGCATGATAGCAAATCGATTGCATGCTGCCGAGGACCACGTTCTGATCGCAAACCGATGTCCCGAAGATCAGGAATCTGACTGCGGATCGAAGGTGTGAGCGAAACGAGGTGGGACCTCTTGACATACGACTTCTCCTGTTGGAACTGATAGGTCGGAGGAGTAGAGCATGTCGGCTCTGCTGTGGGAGGTTTACTGCGTACACCGCGTCTGACTGCCGTAGAATTGTATGTTCCGTAGAGAAGCGGATCCACTTGTTTGCATGACATATCTCTGCGCGTCTCATCGTCCCCATAGCGCTGGTGAGCTGCATCCTTGTCAAAGCGGGTCCAAGTGCCCATCCGAACGAATAGCGATAAGCCCTCTTGCGTCGGCACTACATGCATGCAATCTAATGGATCACGAATCCTGCCGTGCGATACATTGTACATCCGGCACGCAGATTACCACCGCTGTTAGATGAGAGGCACTCTAGCAGTAGTCCAATGACATCGCCTGCGTGGATTGATGTGTGCTGGTACGAGGCCGTATTCGGCGCGGTTCGACCACATTGCTCTTCGGCAGAGCTCGAGGCAAGGCTCAGAGACGTGGCGAACTGCTCGGTAATGTTGCACACCTCCACCTCGATTTTCTGTGCTCTCGAGCATGGGAAGGAAGGGCAGTGGACCTTTGATTTCGATTCTCCGAGATCGCATAGGGTAGCTACTACAGGTCGCTCCAAATGCCTGTCGGTGTGTGCTCCCATAGAAAGGGGATGCTCCTGAGATGCTGTGCGCTATAACCACTTCCTGGGTGGATATCTCGACTGGCACATATAAGACGTCTGGCGGTGTTTCAAATCAGTGCTACGAGTTGCCACTATGGTAAAAGGCAAGCGAAAGACGGCGACGGATAGTAAGAAAGACTAGCACGTCAAGGCCCCGAGTACACAATCTCTGTTCCGCTATATAGCGAAACGTGTTATGCATGAAACATATGAATTCCGGCGCGTCCTGCTTCACCTCGATCGGAATTCGAGGCCAGTTCAGGGCCCGTGCTCAGTCTCGTACTCACTAGTCTGGACAGGCACTGACTGCGATGTCAGTCCATGCCGGTACTCTCCTCGCACGGGATCGAAATAGACAGGACGACATTGGCGAGCTCCCACATCTGGCAGGTCAGCCATAACGTAGTCAGAGGGGATGTCCAAGACGCACCGGACGTAGGCGGAGGCGGAGGTGGAGGTGCTCTATCACCATCTTCTGTTTTCCCAAGACGGTCTGCACGATGGAGCTCCCCTCGACCGTCGCGGTACCTGAACACATGCCAAAGCATCCACTGCATAGTCAGTACGGGCGGACCGTATGCAGGAGATACGACATACTTGTATGATCCAATTCGGCAGGCCTGGGGTACACGGGTCCTCGGCGAGGTCATAAATTGGCTTCGTGGTGGAGCTGGCGCGAAGATAAATGCGGCGACACTCGGCAGCCATAGCTTCTGTGTCGACCTGTGACGTCCGATAAGTAGAGGCGCGGTCGCGCAGGACAAGTGCTGTTGCACTGCGACAGCCGTCTAGTACGCTGATAATGTTCTGGCGTCCTTCACTCGCCTCGAGCTGCGATCACCATCAGATCTGCTGGTCCGCTTCTGCTTGTACGCACCAACCTTCATTAGACGATATATCTTGCGGTGCATGTTGTTTTCCATATCTAGGCCGATGTAACTAAAGGTTACGCGATCAATGGACACGGCTTGCAGCTTGACAGCGGGCACGCGCTCACTTGAAGAGGCGGGCTTTACTGTCGCTTCGGGGTAGCGCAGGAAGAACGGGCGACATGGTAGAATCGTAGAGTCCCTGTCGAAGGAAACAGAACAAGAATGCCTGCAGGCGATCCGCATGTCTTTTTATTTCATGCTGAGACCCTCGAAATCCCCCGTGTACGGAGGAGCGCCTGCCCTCAATCGCGATCATCTCGAATTCCAGGCGCAGCTGCAGCAGCCTGCTGAAGCCAGTATGCGGCTCGCTGTGGAATCTCAAGACGTGCAGGCGGAGCTGTGCAGCCGGCAATGCTGGTCGAGCTGACGCTGGCAAGTACTCGACTGGCGGCCCTGCTGTGCCAGGCTTGCAACCAGTTGACGGGGTATAGCAAGTTCGGCTGCGGGGATCCCTCCGAGGTCGTCATCTGCCTTCCTCTCTTCGCGTCCCTGGAGTACACAACTACGAGAGGCAAAGCACAGAACGCGAACTGTAGGTCCGATGGTTGCGACAATGGTCTTCGGAGTTGCGGCGGAGGGATTCCAGAATCAGGCGCATCGCTTGGAGACATCCTCTTTTACTCTCGCCTCCCAAATGCTGAGCACGAGTGCCAACAAACAGCAAAGAGCAAATGTGGCCGACAACATGCAGATACCTATCCACAATGGCTGTAAATGCGTGGTCGAGACTGCGGCACACGGAACCGTTCCTGTGCTACATCGCGATGCTCCGGCAATCGAATTTTACCCTGCGCAATCGAGGGCAACGCAGCGGGGTGACGGATGGCCCGCAAAGAAGGTCTGGCCGCCTTCTGTGACACTGGAGTCCCCGAGAGAGCTCTTGATGGAGCGAAAGTCAACGTCTAGACAGGTGGACATGTGCGCATCTGGATGTTACCGGCACGTGACCTACATGCCGAGGCGGTTGCCTGAATTCTTCAAACATTGGAGAACCTGGCATTGAGAGTCCGATTGTGCAGTGGGAGCATCATTTCTCATGCCAGTCATCTGCGTCAAAGAAGAATACACAAGTGCTGTGCCATGGACCTCGTTCGATCGCTACCTGACCTCGACAGGCTGGCTGGACTCCTTATCTGCCGTACACTTAGCAAAGTTGACGTTCAAGCTGGATCTGCTTGGGTCCGCATTCATGGAGGACTCACGATCTGATAGGTGAGCGCCAGAACGACACGGTGCTTAGCCAGACCAGCAAAAGCGGTACAAACGTAAGGCGAATTGGTCCGACCTTGTGGAAAGCCTTGCTTCGGCGTAGTCGTATCACAGGCCCTTGCGTCCTATCGATCGGGATGTATCAGCTCCTTTCTATCGCACTACACTTTAGCGCTTGAGAGATCAAGGCCAAGCTCATTTGAATGCGCCTGATTTGCTCACAAGCGGTGCGGTAGTCCTTGGAACACAATCACGTCGGGTCCAGTAGGTGCATACACTCTGCTCCAGCCTGAGCTCTCTTATCGAAACCTAGCAGTCTTCAATATAGCGGAGGTTGATGATATGCTGTCATGGCCTGGCGTTCTACGCAAATAAGGTAGCCGTCACGGAACTTCCACTTCACTCATGCACGCCAAGAAAGTACGGCACCGTCGAATGGTCACGCGAGCACGCTCATTTCCGGTACTAGTCACAGGGAAATTCACAATTCTTCACAAGAATTCTGGGAACTGAGCACGATTTTTGAGACCGCCTATGGAAACCTTCAACAATTAACAGTAGAACGGATCGAAATTTGATGCAGAGCCTTTTCGACGAATTCATGACTAATACGCCGGTCATCAAACCTTTCTCGCCTGCCTCGTACTCCCAACAAGCGGGGATTTCATGAGAGCGCTTTACCTGCTGCTCTCAGCTACATGCGGCATCGATTCGATCTCGACGGATCACGACCTGCAGAGTTCGCTGCCAGCTTGGTTAGGGACACCGTATGCTGCAACTGGAGAGTCCATGACCTGTTCTGTAGGGAGCGGTGCAGATGGCGGAAAGTTCGGCACGGCGCATGGAAGACGAGGCTAGTCGCCTGCCCCAGAATCTGAAGCGTCAAACAGTGCCCTCGGCATGCTACAGCTGTAGGAGAAGAAAGGTCAAGGTACCGTTTCTGCGGAGAGACGAAACTGGGGATAGCTAATCGGCATAGTGCGATGGCCGCCTGCCCTGCAGCTACTGCGCCCGTCGATCACTCGAATGTTCATACGAGAGCACCCTGCCCAACGAGACACTACAGCAAGCGAAAAAGCGAAGGTACCATGAGATGGAGCGCAGGATTGAGGGTCTAGAACAGCTGCACGATATCCTCGCGCGAGGTAATGAAGCGAGAGCTGTCGAAGTCCTCCGGCGCATGCGTCGAGGTGATGACATGGAGCTTCTCTTGGACTATGCTCGGGCTGGAGCTGGTGTGGACGGCAGCTCGCTCGAGCAGAGTCAGCATTCGCGGCGCCTCTTTCTGAAAAGCTTAGTAGAGTCGACGGCATCTCTAGAGGAAACGACCAACGCTGCAAGGACGGTGGTGACCATCGACCGCTTGTATCTGCCATCCGTAGAGGCTTATCAGACTCTGCAACACAGCGTGCTACAGCTCGACCATCTCGACGGCTTCCTCTCCGAGACCAACTCGCAACGTGCGACCGGGGCTTCGGCGCAACAACGTGCAGAGGACAAAAGCAGCGGTCCGCTCTACTGGGTACCGGCACACCCGTGGCTCGTGGCGGTCAGCGACGAAGAAACATCTCACTTGCTATCTATGTTCCTTGCATATACCAATGTCTGCTGGCGTTTCGTGGAAGTTCAACCCTTTCTGCAAGCACTGCGTAGCAAAGACCTCGGGTCTCAGTATTGCTCACCATTTCTCGTGAACGCCATGATGGCCCTAGCGTACCTCTACGCAGATATCGCAAACAGCGGCGACGACGACCCCGAAGGAGCCCCGCACCAAAATATCCGGTTCCACGAAGAAGCTCTGCGACTGTGGACGCTGGCTGGGCCAGAGCCTAGCATCACAAATATCCAGGGACTCTCCATTCTGGCGGTCGAGCATATCCTCCAGGGCAAAGATCAGCAAGGGCTTGATCTGCTGTCTGCCGCTTGCGAGTTGAACAACACCCTACACCTGCCCGTGCGGCTGGCAGAGTGGTCCAGAGAAGACCTGGTGTACTACAGAGCTCGTAGCTGCACTTGGTGGATGGTGGTCCATCTGAATTTGACTTGTAGGATGGGCCTAATGATTGCTGGCGATGCCGTGGACTGGAATCGTGCGCCTGAGATGGCGGACGTGCTGCTGGAGGATTTGCAGTACTGGGTAACCACACGATGTTCCCGTGGCTCCAGAATAGACTAACCAAGACCAAGATCGGCTACCCTTTTCTCGACGAACCAATCCCGCTCCAAGCGAACTTCCTGTTCCAGCAACGATGCCTTTTCACACGACTCCTTCAACAAGCTACGACGATCCTCACGGCACACTCACTTGAGGCCGATGCCCTATCCGAGCTTGTATCGGCGAGTCAAGCGCTGTCTGCACAGCTGCAAGAATGGTATGATGCGATTCCACAGGAAGTTTTTCCTATTACGAGGGCACCCCCGAACATTTACGATCTGCACGCTCAGTACCACTGCGTTCAGGCGGCTCTCTACGAGCGCAGCCACATGCACTTGTGCGCATTGATGCAGGAAACAGAGCACGACACCGAAGAATTGGCTGGATCTGAAAGAGCACGATTGAGAACACATTTGCGTGCGACAGCCCTGCAACACTGCTATGAAGGCGCAACCGTTCTTCGAGCGTTCCGTAAGGCACACGGTTTGAAGTGTGTCTCCTTTGTGCTCCTGAATCATTCCGTGGTGGGGGCTTTCGTATGCTTGAACGATATGCACACACCTCCAGAGGGATCCACTCCTCGCACGGGCAAAGGTCTCGAGTCCGACCAAAGGACGATATCTGCACTAGAGGAATTCTTCCGCATTATATTAGCTACGAGTGGAAGGTGGATTCTGTCCCGTGGCTTGGCTAAGATGATCTATTACACCGCTTCCAAGGAGCTGCGTATCGAGCTACCGGCCTCGATATCGGATATTACAGAGATTATGAACAACAGTTCATGGCACAGTTCAGATTTGCTGCAGCTCAGCGCAACATTCCGGCCCAATTGGAGTATGCCGTATGTTCGTAAGGACGACGACCTTGGGAACTATCGAATGGGAGACATGCTAAATGACTTAATGGAATCGAGCGGTCATCGGGACGGCGCTGTGGAACCGCGGCCGAGCTCGTCGAGAGTTATGGCATACGATCCTGTGCACGATTAATGAACGCAGAGGGGAACGTCCAGAGGACTATAGAGCTACGTGAATCCTGCATGCGACAATGTCAGAGTTACTAGCACATCGGTGATTCAGCTTCGCACAGATACTATTCGTTAGTACACGAGACAAGATCGAGCTCGGCGCATCCTCGGATAGGGGTTCTTGTATACTACGCGGCAGTGTTTCTAGTCCTATAGTGCTAGTAACGCCGACGTACCTCTTGCTTATTAGCCGTAACGGATACTATAGAAAACGGTTATTACGGTACTATTATCGGAACTTACGAGTATCTATAAGTACTAGTTCTTACTAAAGATATTAGCGATCCTCGCTCGAACTAGAAAATAAAATTCTACTTATATAATTTAACGCTTCCGAATATTCGCTAATATTACTAGCTAATTACTATCTTTAAGGATTATTCTAGGAAGTAATAGCTAAAGGTTTCTAATTTCTATAGTAGCCTTTTTAAGTATATAGTAGGTTTCGCTTCTAGCTTCCTAATATATATTAGAAAGTATTCGAACTAAGTATAGCTCTATATAACTAAGAGATAAGAGAAATAAGCTAGCTTACTATAGGCGTTATTTAAATTATTATTTATAGAATATATCTCGAACTTATAGAAATATTCTAGGACTTAAACCTTAGTATAAATATATAGACTTCTACTAGGCGTCGCTAGACTATTCTAAAAGTAATATAATAGCTAGAGAAGCTCTCTAAGTATTTCGTATACTTACTTTATATATTATACGAGCTTAAGAATAGTAGGAAGATCGAATAGAATATACTTAGTATATTACGACTACTTTTAGTTTCGACTTCGATCTCGGACTAAATAAAAGTCTAAGAGAAAATACTACGCTTCGTAG